ATGTTTTAAGAAACTGAAAACATCTCAATTTATTTCTACAAGTAAATTTTTTGTTAATACTTTGAAAAGTATAGAAGTAACTAAAACCAAAATTCATAGCATCCATCTCCTGGATGAGTTGAATGTTTTGATAGAAGAAAAAATAAATTATGCAGATGTAATTAGATTGCAAAAAAAAAAAAGCTAATCATGCTGAATCAGCATGTTTGCAATTAAAGGCAAACGTGATGTGGGACTGCAGGGTTCAGCTTGAAACTGATAATTTCTTTGTTCAGCTTCAACTCAAACATGTTGTCTGCCTCACCAGGAGCCTGACAAGTGTTTCGAGTGTGACTCCCGGCATCCCTACGAGCCGTACCGCCACAGACACAGCCACCGCATCCAAAACGTGATCTACCTCATGGACGGGAATGAGGACCACACCTGGTGGCAGTCTGTCAATGGTGTGTGTTCACTCACAGCGAACAAGGACGCGCTCCATTTGCTGCTTTTGTCTTCCTTTGTCTTTGAACTGGGCATATTTGCACAAATGTTTGGCATTCGTTGACATTTGTGGTCTTCACAGGTAAGGAGGACGTAAGCATCAGACTGAACCTGGAGGCTGAGTTTCACTTCACACATCTCATCATGAAATTCAAGGTACAACATTTCATGTGCCGTCCCACCCAAAACGAGGCTAAATCTTTACATCCCAYGCTGCAYAATGAAAGTAAATTATTATCAGACWAGAGATTTTACTTRTATCTACAKCTACACAWGTGAAATCTACATCTACATCAAAATTAGCGTAATTTCTGTGAAGCTTTTTATTTTTACAAAAACATCATTTTCGTCATTAACCCTAAAGTGAGCAAATACTTCATCTGGAGGAAAGATGCAAAGTGTTAAACCAATGAACTCAATATCCACCTGTTTTTTCCTTGTTAAGATAAAAACTGAACATCTAAACTAGAATAGTTCCTGGAGAAATGATGAAAGGGCTTGCTTCTTGGTGCAGGATTATTTTCAACATAGTTTTGAGGATTTACTCTTGGCTACCACCGCGCTAAATTTCACCTCAGTATGGCCAAAAAATGGCAGAGTTATTGACTGAGGTAAATTCTTTCCGTTAGCAATAGTGGCCATCTTGGATTTTTGATTTGGCTTATGTGATAGAGATTGTTCTTAGCTACTACCACACAAAATTTTAGCTCAAAATGTTTTAAAATGGCTAAGTTATTGCAGTTTCAGGTTAGCTTTGGTGGCCATCTTGAATTGTTTACTAAGCATTCAGAATTTGTCAAAGCTTGTTCTTGACTAATAGTATACCAGTTTTTAGCTCTGTATGTTTTTAAATGGCTGAATTAGAGCATTTTTTAAATTAAATTAGCATTCGCGGTTAGCTTAAACTTGTGATTAGCATTCAGAATGTGTTTAGTTAGCTCTCAGCTATCAACCCGCCAAATTTCAGCTATGTATGTCTTAAAACTGCTGAGACCCCGTTTTTGTTCTGTGACTCCAGAGGCCACTCCGCCCACTAACAGCCTCAGCCAATCAGAAGGGAGGGTCAGAAAGGGTTTGCAGCACTTCACTTTTTGCGGGACAAATCTGCCGAATTATTTTTAAATATCTAGAAACAAAAGCTATGATTAAAACTAAAACATTTATTTTTAGATGTCAAACTGAAGTTTGCCTTGATGTTCTGTTAGTTTTAGAAGGATTGTATGTGTGTGACAAGAYATCCTGGTGCAGCTTTGTTGTGCACACTCAGAAATCTGGAGTAAACATACCAGCAGGCTTCGATAAATAACACTGTCAAGGCGTGACAAAACAAAGTGACTTCCAATGTTGACCTGTATTTTCTGTGAACTCTACAACATGTAGATTTATATATATTTTTCTCAATGAACAAAAAACTTTTCAGACTTTCCGGCCTGCAGCGATGCTCATTGAGCGCTCAGCTGATTTTGGACGCACATGGCGCCCCTACCGTTACTTCGCCTCCAACTGTACCAGAACGTTCCCGGGCATCCCCGCCAACGGCCTGCACCAAATAAACGACGTCATCTGTGAGGAGCGCTACTCCGACATTGAGCCCTCGACCAACGGAGAGGCAAGTTTAGAAATCTACGGTAGCAATGGACGCACTTTTTTACTTTATTATCACCCATTTTTTCACCAATTGTTTAAAAAATTTTGCATTGAAATCGCCCAAGTTGGTAAAACAAAGCACTAAAATTATTACGCAACTCAAACTGGTTGCTGTTTTCTTTGGRAATCAGAAATTAGATGTTGGAAGGACATCAAACCCAACTGTCACGTTTAAGTAACGAGTTGGAAAACCAGCTGGAGGGCTAGGCCAGTTTATATTAGCATAACAAAGTGAAAACAACAAATTACTCTTAATTTTATGCATTCAGTTWCTGCAGGAACATGTTCATTTGTAGAAGTTGGACAGGATTATGAGTGTGGCTGATTTAACGAGATGCAAACCAACAGAAGTGCAAATAAACTGGTTTTAACGGCAGCTAACATAACWATTTAGGCAACCATGTTGGATTTTGACGTGCTAATATTCAAAATTCAATTCAAAAATACTTTAKTGATCCCAGAGGGAAATTAGGTAAAATGATAATRAAAACTGTTTTTATGTTTGAGGCAGATATTATTATAATCTTGGATCTTTCACAATCTGTAATCCAGGTTATTTTTAAAGTTCTGGACCCTGCAATTCCTGTGGAAGACCCCTACAGCTTGGACATTCAAGGTCAGTGGAGACTTTGTGTTTTTATAGCACAATCCTTAGAGCTCAACAGAAGAGAAAAAAACTGTCAAAGATGGTGAAATTACTTTGTCTTCCAATAAGTTCCTTCTACCAAAAAAACGATCATTTTTTTATATTATTTTTCGACCTGATATTGGCATGTGATCTGTTATTATAAATTATTATTATTATTTTGTATTACAAAATACAAAAACTTCCATCACACCGAAACGTGACGAATCARGGCCGAGTTGAGACGATGTAACTAAACTCAAGGAAAACACAAAAACCAAACTCTACAAGACACAAACATGAAAATAAAAGCCTTTTCAGGAAACCAAACACTGAAAAACTCGGACAGAGACAAATTCCTGTTGGCTCAAACAAATGTAGGGATTTTGACCATCGAATAATCCACGTTTGGTTGAAGATACACTTTTGAGTACTTAAGTTTTCTTTGTTGAAGCTTTGTGCTTTGTGTTTGTTTCTTATGTTTGCCTTGAAAACTGATTACTTCTTTTTCAGAAAAAACTTTGCTGTTATTATTTGAATGCAATAATTAATTCTGGATTTCTGTATCTGAGTGAACTCCTGGCTTTATTGCTTGAATGGAAGATGTTCAATAACTGCAGAAATGTTCACAACCTTCCATCAGTTTATTTATTTTAATTTTTTTGCTCATATTCCCTCTTAGTGTTTAAATTCATTAAATTSAAATTTAAATGTTTGTGTTACAGAAGAAAGTTATGAGAATTCTGTATAAAGTGAATGTTAGGGAACATACAGATATTTTT